GTCTTCCTAATGCCCGGGCATTAGGTCCCCTGCCCACTGGACCCTGGTCCCATGAAATGTGCTGCGTGGTAGTCACAATTACTCCATGTGCTCCAGTTAGCCCCACAATGCACCTGGAAAGCACCGATGGCACATGAGAATCTTTAAATATCCATGAGCATGGTCCTGGGAGCCTGATTCAGTGAATGCGGGTATTTTAAAATGCAGGTATGTCTTCCAAACATTTCCTGTGCTAATTGTGTTCACCTCATATGGTAAGGAGCAGTATGCCCTCTAAGCTGAGTTAGTGTGAGCTAGCTCACAGTTTTTTAGCCTCTGGCTCACACATTTTTGTCTTAGCTCAAGAAGGATGGCTGCAGAGCAAACTAATTCATGCAGTAGCCAAATTGCTCGCTCACAACTTTAATGCCAGTAGCTCACGAAGTAGACCTTTTGCTCATAAGACTTCATAGCTTAGAGGGAGCACTGGTAAGGAGCGGCCCTAAGATTGCTTTTATGTATTCTTCTTGTACCCTAGTTCAGTTTAGCCTTATTCCTCAAATATCAATATGAGCTCTCATTTGGCCTCATTTGAGCAACAGGATTCTGACTTCAGCTACTATGAACTGCAAACAAGCTCCTCTCAGGCTTCTTGCTTCTGTATTCCTGGAGGAACCACAATGCCTGCCCTGATTGCTGAGCAAGGCACATAAGAAGAATTAGAGAGTCAGGTGTAGAGAACCTTGAATGAACAGTTCCAGCAGTAGAAAGGGAAGGGTTGCCTCCAGCAGAGGCCAGCGAGACTTTCCGGGTGCAGGGCTAAATCTGTCGTCTTTACTGAAAGCGTTTTAATGAATTAGTTTGGGTGGCAGGAAAGACCCAAGACGGGTGAGCTCCTGTCTCTAGCTCCAGCTCCTGCCAACCTAGCAGTTCGAAAGCAAGAAATTGCAAGTAGATAAATAGGTACCACTTCGGTGGGAAGGGAACAGCGTTCCGTGTGCCTTGGTGTTTAGTCATGCCGGCCACATGACCACGGAAACGTCTTCGGACAGCGCTGGCTCTTTGGCTTTGAAATGGAGATGAGCACCGCAACCCTAGAATTGGACTCGACTGGCTTTCAAGCAAGGAAGACCTTTACCTTTATGTATGTGTATGTGTGTGTGTGTATAGTTTATTTTCAGCCACTGGTTTTTTGTGCTTTGTTCCTATTCTTGCATGCTGGTTCCCTTTCTTTTTTGGGTTTCCTTTTCACAACTGGTAAACAGGGTGTGAGCCAAGCCAGTGGGCATTCAAGGATCCCCTTACTGCAACCACTACATCGCACTGGCTCTCCGGAGAAGGAAGAACCACGCGTGCCCATTTGAGTTTCTTAGAGAAGTTGCAGAATCAAGGTATAATAGATTATAGCATGCCCCAGGAAACACCCTGTGGAGCAGCTGAAGTTCCCAAAGTGTCTTTAAAGGCAGCGGACACAATAAAGTAATTTACAGAGACATCCTAAGCAGAGTTACAGTGGTCTAGTCTTTTAAACCAGAGGCGTCGAACTCATTAGGTTATGAGGGCCGGATCTGAAATAAATGTCACTTTGTTGGGCCAGGCCATGTGTGCCATAAAACGTAATGCTGGGTATTGGGGATATAAATTGTATAAAGGACAGCAGCTGGTAAGCTCCAGGTTGGTGTGTCCTCACTGCAAAGCCCCATGGGCTGGGAGGGGGTGCAGAGGAAATCTCACATGGGCGGACGGGAGACCCAGCAGTACTGGGCAGACACTCCCATGCCGCTTGACTGCTGCACATGAGGTTGTTCTGCCATGCTGAAACCACAAGTGTGGTGGCTCACCCCCTCCCCAAGCAGTGTTCTGTTCCCTCCCTTGCACCATCTGCTCGTGGGCCACATAGGCATGATATGTCTGGAAAAAGTGCAGAAAAGGGCAACTCAAATGATAAAAGAGATGAAACACTTTTCCTATGAATAAAGGTTAAAGTGCTTGGGGCTCTTTAGCTTGGAGAAACGACAACTGAGGGGTGACATGATCGAGGTTTATAAGATTATGCATGGGAAAGAGCAGGTAGAGAAAGAGGTACTTTTCTCCCTTTCTCACAATACAAGAACTCGTGGCACTCAATGAAATTGCTGAGCGGTAGGGTTAGAACGGTTAAGAGGAAGTACTTCTTCAGCCAAAGAGTGATTCACACATGGAATTCACTGCCACAGGAAGTGGTGGCGGCTACAAGCATGGATGGCTTCAAAAGGGAATTAGATAAGCATATGGAGCAGAGGTCCATCAGTGGCTATTAGCCACAAGGTATAGATAGGGACTCTGGGGCAAGTGATGCTCTGTCATCTTGGTGCTTGGGGGGGGGGGTCAACAGTGGGAGGGCTTCTAATGTCCTGGCCCCACTGGCGGACCTCCTGATGGCACTGGTATTTCTGGCCACTGTGTGATACAGAGTGTTGGACTGGATGGGCCTTTGGTCTGATCCAACATTGGCATCTCTTATGTTCTTATGTGTGATGCATCAGTTGCACCTTTTGCCATCAAAACACCATGTTGCTGACCATACCTCCTGCAAGAATATCTGACTCTGTTGTAACCAGCTTTTTGAAAGCGTTTTCCTTGGATGGACAGGGCATTGATGGCTGTATGGACTGTTCCCATTTGTAGGGTAACATTGATCTTCCTTTTTCCAAATTATTCTGCGGCTTTTGCAAAGAGTGTTATCTAGCACTCTGTTTTGTAGTTGTAGTTCTTGCTTTTACAAGCCTTTATTGGCATACGTATATACATACAATAGGAGATAGTTGTAGTTCTAATTTTATTTAGTTAGAACATTTATTAGCTGCCTATTCCTTACAGAGTTCAAGGCAGCTTACTGCAGCTTAATAGGTAATGACTTTCATTTTTTGCCTTTCTCATGCCAGACTACCTGTAATGCCCTTATATAGAGCCAAGGTATGGCCTCACTTGAAACACTGTGTACAGTTCTGATTGGGGATCTCAAAAAGGATATTGCAGAGCCGGGGGGAAAGTACAAAACAGGACAACCATGACAATCAAGGGGTTGGAGCACCTTTCCTAGGAGGAAAGCCTGAAGAATCTGGGACTGTTTCATTTAGGAAAAAAGACAACTAAGGGGGGCATGATAGAGATTTACAAAATTATGCATGGAGTGGATTAAGCTCTGTATTTTTTTGTGCTGGGGAGGCAACAGTGGGAGGGCTTCTGGAGTTCTGGTCCCACTGGTGGACCTCCTGATGGCACCTGAGTTTTGCCCATGGTGTGACACAGAGCGCTGGACTGGATGGGCCATTGGCCTGATCCAACATGGCTTCTCTTATGTTCTTATAGATGGAACACTATGAGGCAGTGATGCTCTGTATTCTTGGTGCTTGAGGAGCAACACTGGGAGGGCTTCTGGAGTTTTGGTCCTGCTGGTGGACCTTCTGATGGCACCTGGGTTTTGGCCACTGTGTGACACAGAGTGTTGGACTGGATGGGCCACTGGCCCAATCCAACATGGCTTCTCTCATGTTCTTATGTTCTAATAGAGGGAGCGTTTCCTCCCTTTTCATTAATACTAGAACTTGGAAGCATCCATTGAAGTTGATGAGCAATAGATACGGGATAGACAAAAGGAAGCACTTCTTTACCCAACAGGTAGTTAAACTGTAGAATTCACAGGCTGTGGATGTAGCGATGGCTGCAAGATTAGATGGCTTTAAATGGGGCTTAGATAGATTCATGGGAGATAGATCCATGAGTGGCTTCTAGCCATGGTGAGTAAGGGGGGACCCACATATTCAGAGGCAGTTAAATCTCTGGATACCAGTGCTGGGAGGCAGCATCAAGGGAAGGCCTTCTATGCCCTGTTGTTGGCCCTTTAGAAGTTGGCCTCTGTGTGAAACAGGATGTTGAACTAGATGGAATGCTGGTCTGATCCAGCAGGTTCTACCTATGGTCTTATAGACACATACGGGGGGCGGGGAAAACATTCCTAGAAGAATGGTATTCCTAGACAGAGGGATTTTTCACTTTGGTCTCAGAGACAGAATCATATGTGAACCAATACTGAATAAAACTTGTATTCTGCAAGAATAGACGTGAATTGCTGCTACCTGCTAGGAATCTTTCTCCCAAATACAAGACGTGCTTTAGCCCTGCATGGCAAATGGTTGAGATTCTGCCTCATTAATCAGTAAAATTGTTATGAGTTTAAGCTGTTGAATCTAACTATTTAGAACACATTAAGTACCACATTTTAACAGAGATGCACGTGTTTTTTTACACTTTAAATGTATTATAGAAATTATGGGACCTCGACAAGGGTTCCAACCAATGTTCCCTCTAAGCTGTGGAGTCTTGTGAGCAAAAATTCTACTTTGTGAGCTGTTGGCATTAAAGGTGTGAGCGAGCGATTTGGCTGCTGCATAAATCAGTTTGCTCTGGAGCCATCCTTCCTGAGCAGAGACAAAAATGTGTGCGCTGGAGGCTAAAAAACTGTGAGCTGGCTCACACTGACTCAGCTTAGAGGGAACACTGGTTCCAACTAGTGGGATGGTGGCGGAAAGAGCCGTCAAGCCGCAGCTGACCTATGGTGACCCCACAGGGTTTTCAAAGCATGAGACTTTCAGGGGTGGTCTGCCACTGTGCACCTTTGGACTTCCTTGCTCTCCCACCCGAGTGCTGACCAGGGCCAACTCTGCTTAGTGTCTGAGAGCTGACGAGATCCAGGTCAGGGCAGTCTCTGGGATAAAGGTAAAGCTTCCCTTGCTCGAAAGCCAGTCGAATCCGACTCTAGGGTTGCGGTGCTCATCTCCGTTTCCAAGCCGAAGAGCCAGCGCTGTCCGAAGACGTTTCTGTGGTCATGGGGCCGGCATGACTAAACACCAAGGTGTACAGAATGCTGTTACCTTCCCACCGAAGTGGTACCTATTTATCTACTTGCCATTTCTTGCTTTCGAACTGCTAGGTTGGCAGGAGCTGGAACTAGAGACGGGAGCTCACTCCGTCATGCGGCACCCGGGTCTCGAACTGCTGAACTACTAGCCTTCCACAGCCTGCAGTTCAGCATCTTAACCACTTGAGCCGCCGCAGCTCCTGTAATTCGGGGGGCCAGGGGAATGAGTAAGCAATTCAATAGATTCCAGGCATCTTTAAAAACTGAATCTACGAGGTTTGAGTTAAGGGAGTTCACCTTATGACAAAGCTTAAACAGTCCACTTGCTTATAACAAAACATAATTATGTGTACGTTGGTAAGTTATAGTTTAGGAAAGTCATATTATTGTTCAAACACAAGGTGGTGCAATTGCACAACGCACAGCAGACTTTCAGGGAGTATCGGGTCTTTCACAAAGCTGCTGCCTTCACATAAAAGGGACCTCAGATAGAAAATAGCACAACATTGCAGGCAAAGATTCAAGCATTTCAGGAGGAAAAAGGCCATTGCATCACCAAAAGCAATAACAGAGAACAGACACATTTGCCTTGGGAACGTACAAGAGACTATCACTTCCAGCAGCTGCTTTAAAAAAGAACTATCCTGTGAATTGGATGTGCTTGGGAGGAGGCTGAGAAAATGGAGATGCATCCCAACATCAGTCAAGGTTGGTCTTTTTTCTTCGCTCTCTGCATGTGTGGGGTAATATGTGAGTCCTTCCACTATTCAGTTCCTGAGGAAAGGAAGAGTGGGTCTCTGGTGGCAAATGTGCTAAAGGATTTGAAAATGGATGTGAAGGAACTGTCTGCTCGTAGAGCCCGGCTGGTTTCAAAGAGCTCCAAGCAATATTTCCAGCTGGATCCTCACTCTGGGAATGTGATATTAAAGGATAAAATAGATCGAGAGGCTTTGTGTGGTCAGAAGGACCCTTGCGTCTTACATTCTGAAATTGTGCTGGAAAACCCATTGCAAGTGCACAGAATTGAAGTTGAAATACAGGATGTGAATGACAACTCCCCCCAGTTCTCTAAAAAAGAATTCCTTTTTGCAATACCAGAGCAGACTCTCACAAATACTCGGTTCCCTGTGGAGAGCGCTGAAGATCTAGACAAAGGTGAAAATGCTGTTCAGAATTACACACTTAATCACAATGACCATTTTTGGCTGGATGTGCAAAGTCACCCTGACGGGAGCAGGTACGCAGAATTAGTGTTGCAGAAACATTTAGATCGTGAAAAGGATCCACAGCTTTCCCTCATCCTGTCAGCAGTTGATGGAGGGACCCCAAAGAGAACAGGCACAGCAAACATTATCATCGATGTTCTGGATGCCAACGATAACGCCCCTCATTTTCATCAATCTCTTTACAATGTGAAAGTAATGGAAAACACCCAGGCAGATACAGTTATAATTAACGTGGAGGCAACGGACAGGGATTTGGGTACCAATGCAGAAATCACTTACTCTTTTGGCCAGATATCTGGGAATGTGCTCACATCTTTCAAGCTAAACCAACGTACTGGGGAACTTACTGTTTCTGGAACTATTGATTATGAAGCGGACAAAAAATATTCGATAAATATCAAAGCCACCGATGGAGGGGGGCTCTCAGATTACTGCAAAGTCATTGTGGACGTTGAGGACAGAAATGACAATGCTCCAGAGGTGACTGTGACATCCATCACCAGCCCCTTTCCAGAAGATTCCCCCCTAGATACAGTGGTGGCCCTTTTCAGTATCATGGATCAAGATTCTGGAGATAATGGCAGAACTGCCTGCACCACTGAGTCAGACTTGCCCTTCATGCTAAAAGCCACTGTGAACAGTTATTACCAGCTGGTGACCCAACAGCCCCTGGACCGAGAAAGAGTCTCAGAGTACAACATCACCATAACCGCCACTGACTGGGGCTCTCCCAGGCTCACTTCAACAAGAATAATTAATATCCAGATCTCAGATGTGAATGACAACGCTCCAATATTTGAGAAGTCATATTATAAAATGCAAATAGGAGAAAATAATATTCCAGGTCTTCTAATAGGATTGGTGCATGCTGATGACCAGGACACAGAGCAGAATGCCAAAATTAGATATTCACTTTTGCCTGGGAAGGTTGGCGATCAACCTGTGTCCTCTTATGTCTCCATCAACTCTGAAACTGGGAATCTGTATGCCATCCGATCACTGGACTATGAGCAGGTGAAAGATTTCCAAGTGACTGTGAGAGCTGTGGACAGTGGTTCTCCTCCCCTGAGCTCCCAAGTTATGGTCCGAGTCATTATCATGGATGAAAATGATAATGCCCCATTCATTCTCTACCCTCTTCAGAATGGCACTTCCCCATCCAATGACCTGGTTCCCAGAGGGGTGGAGGCTGGCTACCTGGTCACCAAGGTGGTGGCAATAGACAGAGATTCTGGTCAGAACTCTTGGCTTACCTATGAGCTCCTGAAGGCCACAGAACCGGGTCTGTTCAGTGTGGGGGCCCAGAACGGAGAAGTGAAAACCATGAGACCAATGAACAAACGAGACACCTTCAAACAGAAACTTATAATTGGAGTTAGAGATAATGGTGACCCACCCCAGTCCACCTCTGGAACACTAAACATTCTGCTAGTGGATGGTTTTTCTGACCCTTATATGAAAATGGTGGATATCCCAAAGGAGGAAGTGGTGGAGGAGGAAGACCGTACCCTGACGATGTATCTGGTCATATGCTTGGCTGTCATCTCCTTCATTTTTCTGGTTTCTGTGTTGGTGTTTGTGGCCATCAAGATTCAGAAAAGGAGAACGTTCGTAGAGAGCTCCGCCCTGAGTTTCCCAGTGGGACCGAATTTCCAGGAGAACTGTGGAGATGCTGATGCTGGGTCACTCTCCCGGGCTTACAACTATGAGGTGTGCTTAGCTGGTGGGTCCCTGAACAGCGAGTTCAGATTTCTCAGGCCTCTCTTTCCCGTGTTTTCTGTGGAGCCTGCACCAAATCAAAGGGATTCAATGATTTCAGCTGGTTCCCAAGAAGTTCCCAGTCATGCAGAGAAAAGTGATCTCATGAACCAGGTGAGAATAATTTAATGTAATATCT